AGGGAGGGAGGAAGTGACATCTATTAAAAACAATATATCCAAATAAGAGATCAAACAGAACTAGGACCTCCAGGACATACTTATATTTGTGCTAAAAGAACTTCTAATGCTTTCATCTATTTGTCCCCGAGTCTGGATTCCCAGAGAAGCCTCACAGGCAGCTTTTGGTGTTGGCTATCTTGACTGTTCATGGCCCTAATTTGTACTTCACACTCATTCCTGGCCCTTAGAATTTCCAGTCCATCTTTTTCCTTCTCTCCTTAAAACTGGGACACTTGGAAAGATTTCCCCAACTCTGAGATAATTCTTGTCAAGGTACTAAAATCATCTCAAAGCCCTTTAAGTCACTCCTGTGTTCTATTAGCTCTGCAGGCTTCTCCCACGTAGAAAATACAGTAGCCAACACTTTGAGAGAAGTTCCTTGTAGAGGTGGAAATCAGGCTTTTACCATTTCTGGGAACATCGAGAACTTTTCAGTGTTGCCATGGACCCTTACCAGCATCTCACCCCATGAAGGTTGATCTAAATCACGAGGTTTTCTTTGGCCATAACCCAAACTTTAGGGCCTAAAATCAGTTTATTTCATCTCATTATCCACAAAAACTGCCCTAACCAGTGAAAATTTACAGAATCACATATGTAGTGAGAGAGAAAGAGGAAAACTGTCATGGGGAAGGAATTATGGTTGTGGACGTGGGTGGTGGTTATAGTGGCGATCATGCCAGAGAACAAAGACATACCTTGAACAAGGAGACACTAAGTTGAGGATATGCTACTGGGTGTTGGGACGGGAGTTGTAGAAGACTTGGCCTTCACGCTTAGGCAAAGGGCAGGGCGTAGTTCCCCTGCACCCCAAGAACAGGAGCCAGCGTGGCCAGCTGGGAGATGCCTGCCGCCTCCAGAGCCCCCAGAGTCATCTTACAGCCACTGTGGCCTTTCCTTGCTCTTCCTAATTCACCAGCACTCCCCCTCCATCAGTGTATCCAATCTCGTTCTTAAAATACCTACAACTATACTTGCAACTACAGAAGCTGGGACTTTTGTAGATCTTGAAAGAGACTTAATTTAACTTTTCCCCATTCCAGGTATCAACAGAAATGGGCAAACTAATAGTATGCTATTAGTTTCTAATAGTCTGCTCTCTAGAGATGGAAAAGGGGTCCCTTCAAAAGTAGCATGTTCCCACACCAGTGACCTTCAAGCAAAGACCATGGGGATAGTGTAGAAAGAATAGAGGGGGGGGCGGGCTTTTAAGTTCCTTTCTGGCCCAGGACTCCATATAGAGGCCTCGTCACTAACTCCAAACACAGGCGTAACTCCTGAGCACCTGTGCATGCTCCGAACAGCACGAGCAGGCTCCCTCCTGATCTTTAAAAACGTAATTTCTCTAAGCATCTGAGTCGCTCTCAAAGGTCAGCTGGTTTTTCCAGTAGAAACTGAGACTTCGCTGACACAACAATGAAGATGTAGCTCACCCCTCAGATCAGACACCTCCATAGAAACACAGATTTTCCTCTTTATCTCCATTCACACAAAGGGATCCCCCCATGGCAACCTTGTCCAGGTTGGAGAAAATGACAAGAGACTCGAGGCCACGACCAAAGATGAGGAATCAACTAAAATAAGCTGCACTCACAACACAACTCCTACTTTTCAGGAAGCACTGCAGTCTTACAGCAAGGACCCGATCCTTAGCACTACGCTGCTCCTTGGAGATTTCTCACATGGACACTTCAAGGCTTGCGCAGCAACTCATCTGGACAATACATTGTTTTGTTCTAGCACCAGATTCTCGATCAGAGCCCAAGCTCTCGACATCCGTCTGCCTTTCTCTACAGTCTTTCTGCATTCACCGCTACCAGAACTTTCACTCCGGGAAGAAAATCAGCAGCAAAGCTGAGTGAGGAAGGTTTCCTGGATAGGCCAGAACCTGCCAGCGTTTAGGGTGGCTGAGGACATGCTTCCCAAGCGCACAGCCTGCCCAAGCAATGCTCTAATAGAGAGGAGTCCAGGCTGTAGGCCGTCCAGTGCTGCCTTCCAGAGATGCTTTTGCTGGTTCTGTGTTTAGAAAGACCTCCTAAGAGCCGGCTAGAGAAAGTCCCTTGATGTTCGGCCACTAGGGCACAGTTTCCAAAAACGCCAAGTTAACATAGTTCCCTTCCCCTAGATATGGAAAAAGGCCCAAAATATAAGTTTTTCCTACCACTTTTGGAAATGATCCCTTGGGATAGAAGGATACTGTTTGCTTCCAACAATCGATGGCTATTCATAAACAGGGTGGCCTGAGAGGCTGACCAGACCTCTTAAGAGTCTTCTCCTCTCCACTCCCCCCAAAAAGAAAGGGGTAGACTTCAGAGTCTGGGGATATGCGCACAGGCCTCGCTGAGCCCACCCACAGCAGCACGCACACCGAGGCTCAGAGGTAGGGGCAGGCGCCTACCTGTGTAGCCAGCCAGGGCAGCAGCAGGAATGACAGGCTTGTCCTTGTTGAGGTCAGCACGGTCACGCACATAGTCCTTGAAGGTGCCCTTGGGATTGTGGTTGGGCAGGGCGGCCGGATAGTCCTCGGAGTCGAAGCTGTCATAGGAGGGGACGCGCTGCAGGCTGTTGAAAGATGACTGGCTGCTCCAGGACTGGGTGAGGCGGTCACAACTATCGTAGCTCTCTATGCTCTCAAAAGAGTCCTGGCCCCCGAGTTTACCTGGAGGTAAAGGAGGGGGTAGGAAGAGGGCAGGGGAGGAAGGATTGGGAAAAGACAACTGTAAAATCCCTCTGAGTGAGGACAGATTGCTCATCAGATCTGCAGGAGGCATGGAAGAGGGAGTGGCCAGTGGGACTGGGAGCTGCGGGTTTGCTGGGAGGGGGGCCGCTGGCTGCAGTCCGAGGGCCACTGCGCGGGGCTCTCATGTTCTTCAGCTCCCAGGACAGAGCCTCAGGGCCAAGTGCTGCTCCAGCCTGTCAGAGGGAGACAGCCGTGCTTGGGACCTCAAGACTCCTAGAGCCAGCAATCGAAAAGCTGAGAATCACACATATTGTTGTGGGTTTCTGGCTGATGCATTAGGCCGAAGGAATAAATGAAGAAATCGGAGCAGTGTGGCTCAACTCCCTAATCCAACTCAAGCCAATGAGATAATTTCAAAAGGCCCAATTTGGCAAAATAGTTTGGTCATAAGAAAAAAAATTCCATTAGACTAAGAGCAGATTGACCTTCCCTGACCTTGGAACTGAAGTGTTATTTTTGAGCATTTTTTCCAAATACTATTTTAAAATGAAATACATGGACTGCCTCTATGTCTTGTCTTTTCAAATAGAGAAAGAAGTAATGAGATGTTTTATCCAAGAGATTAAAAAACGCCATCACTCTTCTGAACAGAAATCCATACTGCTTACTCTCTCCAAGTACAATTTTGTACTTGAAATTTATACTTCATTGGAAAAGTGTGGGCAATAAAAAACAAAGGAGTTGATGAAAGAGTTATTAAGGCCCACAGCAATGTCAGAAATCCTTTACTCTCTGAGTTGCTGAAGGCATTCTGAACTGACCACAAGATCATGCAAGTTCATTAATTTCCCAAACCAGGTTGTAAACAGCTGCTATCATTGCATAATCACTCCAAGAGAAATTTCCATTGGCAAAAAGTGCCATTAAAAAGGGAAGCTAACAAACAGAAATTTGGAGGCAAATGCATCTAAGAGCTTGGAAAGGCTCACAGGAATATTTTCTATGTTCTACTTTCAGATACCTTTTAGGCAACCTGAATTAAATCCTGGGTGAAAAAGTGGCCACCTCAATTCAGCACAAGTCATGAGACAAAGGATGTGACAAATCTGTGTGCAGAAACACCTATAAGTCAACTCTCAACTGTTCAGGGCTGGCTGGTCCACTGTAAAGTTTAAATCCCAGAATACAGCCCAATACTAGTGTGTTTTGGGTATATTCTCCCTTTCCTTAATAGTGGGGAATGGTTAAAAAGAAATGAAATTTAAATATTTAATTTTGGTGTCCAAACCAAAGTTTTAATAAGAAGAAACTAAGTTGAGGATTTTAATTTTCTTTAAATCTCAGAATAAAGGTATTCAGTTAAATATGTAATTTTTGTATAATCCACTGTTGTGGGTTTCCTGACCCTCTTATCCCCTCCAATACTGCTTATTACAGAAAGGTAGTTATTTATCTGCTCCTTCTAGGCCCTTCCTCCAATCATCCATTCAAAGAAAAGTAATGTCCAGAAGGCAAATTGAAGAGCTTCCTGGAGTCTTCTGCCCTGCCTACCCGGTCCACTGTCACATTCGCAGCTCTTTAAAAATGAAGGAATTGCTCCTTCTAGAAATCCACCTAAAAGACTCCAGAAAACAGCCCACAACCAGAATGCAATACCCTCTTTTTAAAAGAACAGGATATTTTATGGCATCTCATAAAAACCTATCCATCTTAATGGTCATCCACTGTCTCTATGAGACCAGTGTCTCTGTGAGACAAATACACCAAAAGCCTAAGCAAGAGAATTTACATTTTCATAAAGAACACCCCACCAAGTCACCGATATTCAGGAAGTATTTATACTTAAGTCTCTCTGGAATGATTCTTTATCAACCATTTTTCCACAAGCAGACACTTGCATTTCCAAGGGGTCTCTATGAGCAGGACACTAACCTGGACATAACCACTCTCCGGCAGCCTCTCCAACATGAGCCAAATGCAACTCTGTTCAGAGCTGCGGTTTACAGCAGCAAGCTGCTTTCATTTTAGCTCTATTTCACAATCCTGGAGCTAAGGTCCTTTGTTTACAGGCATTTTCTCCAAAAGTGGGTTGAATCCAACTAGACTAGACAGTTGGTTGTGCTACTGTGCTCACGCAGGGAAGCACGTGTCCTCGAAGATGTCCATTAGCTAACTTTTCTGAGAAATGCCTCAGTGAGGTCCCTGCAAAGAGATCTGACCCCACCAGGCAGGCCTCAGAGCACTCAAACAACAGATGGGGTAGCCCCCCAGCAGCCCCCTGAACAGACTAGCACAATGACATTCTCAGAGTCTAAGTAGGTGGGACAGAGACCAATTTGTATGCTCTAACGCAGCATACAAATATTGTCTTATTAATAATAATCAGCTCATAGTAATGCTTCCAGTCCAGACCGATCATACCCTGTCAGATTCAGTCAGCCCTTGAACTATGCCCTGTTTGCAGCACCGCTAATGTGCAGAGAGCAGCCGTGAGCAGAACAGTCTGGCCCTCAAGTGCGTGTGGTCTGAAGCTTGGTGTGATGGAAGGGGAATGAGACCAGGGAGAAATACCTCATGCCCTTTGCACGGGTCACTATCTGCTCCACAGTTATTAATTTGGGGTTGGAGGGGTGGCGGGGACAGAAACCAAGAGCAGGAGAAGCAGGGACAATTACACAAATGCAAAGCCAGATGCAATTTTAAAGCATGTGACAGCAGCCCTACCCAAAGTTACAACATGACCGAGCCCCAAACCCACAGGCTTGGCCTCAACACAGAGATGCACCGAGAGCCCCATAAGTAAGAGTTCTAATGCTCTGAACTGCCTGGGTTAAAAGATCCACATGCACATTTGTGTATGTATTTAAATAGACACGCATCCAAAAATAAAGAGTCAGAAAGGGGAAGGCAAACTGATCCCACCCATCCCCTTCAGTCTGAAACACAAACAGCCTGGGGCCAGAAGCAGAAAGATTACAGGTTCTGATTTTGCTGGGGACTTCCCTGTGCAGGCCACTGGCTGTCCTGAGCCTGCTAGGAGGAAGTGTAAACCTGAACACTCGAAGGTGACAAGACAGACGGCCCAAGATGCCAATGGGTAACTCTTCAAAGTAAAGATGCCTTTGTCCATCCCCCCCACCTATAAGTGCCTCAGAGCAACAGGGCAATCACTGAGCAGAAGTCACCAGGAGGCCAGCCAAGCCTGTCTTCTGTGAACAAAGTCCTCTGAGCCCTCCGATGGGCTTTCTGCTGTTCTTCCTGTTTGCAGTTCTTTCCCATTTATCTATTGGAACGGTCATCCTTTTCGAGTTTTTAGAAATCAGCTAGTTCTTCCTGGATGAACAAATCCCTCCTTATGATGGACTGCACTTGTCTCGGTAATAAAACTATCTGCACACTTTACTGGGCGGGCAGCCCCTCTGGGTGTTTATGTCCTGATTTAAAAACTGAGTGTGCTTCACTTTTGTTGCTTTATAAAGTCAACCAGCTCTATTCTGAACATTGACTTCACTGTCAGTGAGTATTTCATCTATGTCATAATAATCATGTCAACAAGGGCACCTTCTTTTGGAAGCCTCTGGCCACCTGACTTTCCTCAGTCCTCTAGCTAAATACACACTCTCACCACATTGCTGATGACTGGTTCCAAATAAACTATTGGTTAACCATCCTGTATCTTCCCAAACCAAAGAAGTCGCAGAAGGCTCGAGAACCCAGGCTGAGAAGCAGATGTCATTCAGCCACTAGGCAGGCTTTGCAGTCTGACCCAGAAGGCTCTGGGTCAGGGTTTTAGGAAACTAAGAGCTTTCCAGGAGGGTCACCTGAACCGTTTGTATTCTATGTGTCCTCCTTAAACAAAATCCTCTCAAAAACAATAAAGCATAACTTTAAAAAAAAACCACAAAAAACCATTCAACTAAGTTAATACTTGGTAAAATGTTTTACCCAAATTCAAAATGTGATTGGTCATCCTGCCGGATTTCAATTCTACCGTAAACCCAGGGCCTTTGTCACCCTGATGGATTTGGCTGAAGTTCCATGATGGAAAGTTCTTAATATTCAGACAGTCTGAGATGGAAAGGCTGAATGAAGCTCAGGAATATACAGAGCCAATAGTGAGGGGGAAACAGGAGGCCTGAAGAACTCACAGTTAGGTAACTCCTGGAAAGCAAGAGCTTCTAGAGAAGTCTGACCTACCACGACTGGTCCTCCCCATGCACATGTTATCTGGTGTGACGACTTCCTGCTTGATAGCGAAGTAGTCGGTCTGCAAGGCGTCTGTCTGCAGAGGGTCCCGGAGAATGACCGAGGGGTAGTCGTTCTCATACTTGAGGGACAGGAGCTCCTCTGAGCTGATGGGATGGAGTGTCTGGTAGGACTCCGTGATGAAGCTGGGCTCTGAGAACTCCGAGGGAGGCACACACTGAGCATGCTCGATACCATAGCCTGGAAGCAGACAGTGGGTGAAACTAAGGAGGGGAGAGATCTGAACCCACAACGGCCCCCATGTGGAACAAACTGGCTGCCTTAGAGACAAGGGGATAATATTCTCAATGAGAAGGGCCTGGGCGCTTAACCTTGCTCCACTTCTTAATTGCTATGGCCCCTGGCAAGACACCTCCCTTTTCTGACTCCGTTAGCTCATCTCTAAAATAGGGGACGATTGCAATCTTCCTTGGAGCACTGTGATAGAGAGCAAATGAGAACACATATGCAAAATGCCTACCCACATTTCTGGCACACAATAAGCTCTTACTACATAGCAGTTACTATCAATGCTGTTCTTAGAATAAAAATCATAATAATGTGAAAAAATAAAACAAAAGCAAACTGCTGAAGAGTCCCTTTGGAAGCAACACCATCAGATAAGAAGAGCCCTACCCTAGCCCTTCCTCTGGCCACCTCTCCAGAAGGGACAAGGCTTTTTTTCCCTGGAACAGAATCTGAAGCTGCGTGGCACAGTCTTGAGGAAGGGTTTCAGAAGAAATGCTGTCATATCCACTCGTAAAGGGAAAGAACGAGGGCCATGACCGGATCCCTAACCCAGGCCTCCGATGCCCTGCTCAGCTCTCTACGCGACTCTCATGCTGATGGTATCAGCGCGAGGTCCTATGTGCAGGAGCTTGCAGATCAGTGAATCATGCAAACAGGCCGGAGCCTTGCGCTTCATAAGAAAACAAAGATAAATAACAAATAGTCTACATTTAAGAAAATCTTGTTCACCATAGAATGACCATGAAGGAGCTTGAGCTCAACTGGGACAAGGTTCCTTTCCTAAGTCCCCACTGTACGAGCAAGATGAGGGAAGGGTGGAAGGTCAACTTACTAATGAAGTAATCCGAGGTGTAACGGGATTCTGGGTAGGTGGGGTTGACTCCATTAACCTGATATGGTTTCACATCCTCTGCAACAGACAGGGTAGGGGAGAAACAGAGAGGTCAACATGCAAGCAATGCTTGGCTTGAAAGGACCTTGGACACAAGGACCGCAATGATCTCAGCCCCTCTTCTAAGAATCCTGCATGTTCCTTAACTGAGTCCACCCTGACTGGGGCTTTTTCTAGAGATGAGATCACAAAAGTATGGCTAAGTTTACTATTTCAGTAGCTGCAAAAGGGGATTTAATATCTCGGAAGGAGCACCAGGGAGTAAGTAATCTCTATGGGCTGGGGAGGCATTCCGCCCTTATTCTGATGCACGCAGGGACCGCATGTACATCAAAGGCTAGAAGGCAGCTTAGGCAGGTACCCAAATCAGTCCCCAACCCTCAAACTGATCAGCTCCAAAACTTTTCAGAAACATATTAAAAGCAACCTAACCAAACTGCTGCTCAGGTGCCAACCTCCCAGGAATGAGAAAGGAATGCAGATGGAGGCAACTGAGCACAGAAAGCCTTGGCTGAACCAAGGTGAGCTTGCAGATCCTCCAGTCACCCTGAGCCAAATCGCCTGGCCTCTGACCACGGTATGGAGAGGTCTGGTTCTATTTCACTGTCAGAATCAGACACAGAGAGTGCGGGTTTGGATTTTTCCTCAGGTATCTGATAGCTAGTTGGGAGCAGAGGCTGCTGGGAAAACAAGTTTACGCCTGCACAGAAAAACAGTTCCCAGTTGAGATAAAATGATTACACTGTGCTTTAGCGGCTTATCAGATTGAAACATCCCCTGCACCTTTGGCCTTCTACCCCGCCTCAAAAAGCTATGTTCTTTTTGTGCTGTGTTGCTTTAGTTTAATCACAGAACCAAAGCTGTAGCCTCAGTACAAACACCTCGCTCAGCTCTCCAAGGACCTGAAGACAGATGGTTCTAACTGTTTCTCAATAGACAAAGGCTATGGCTTTGCTCTCAAACCTACTCCATTATTTCCTAATGCTCCTAAATTCTCTAAAGTTATTCTTTTGCAAGAAGGTAGGTCAAGCCTCCCTTGGGGACCAGAAGCTCCCCCATGAGTCAGTATTATGATACAAAGAACACAGGGCAGGGAAATTAAATTGAAAAGACGTAGGTTTAAGGGAATGAGTGATGAGGCCACCTAGGCTGGCCTCGCTTCACAGATGCAGACACTCTCAGTGCCTGCCCTTCCATGGCTCAGGGCTGAGAATTTAAAGAGAAAATTATTTTAAAGCGCTTTGAAAACAAGGAGATGCTCTATAGATGTTAATTATAACTACGATCAGAGGCAGGTTTAGATACCTGGCCGCTCCGTGGTGATCAATAGAGGAAAACAGTGTATTAGCAGAAGATATTTGGGTTACAGGGTCTGGTAGGATACACTGTTCTGTTGATGAGCCAACGGTCACATCAGGCCTGTGATGAGTCTGCTGTATGTTTCCCTCTATAAACAGATCGCTCACATCAACATGTATGAGTGGGGTCTGTGCAGCTCCACGGGGAATGTGTCTGGGCTCCGGGGAAGGCTGTGCCCCCATCCCCGGCCTGGGCAGCCGCAGTAAGTCACCTCGTTTTTGCCTGTGTGTATTTATTTATTTTTTTCAGCAGAAGCTGAAAAGAAGGAAAAAAGATAACATTTCTGTGCCCAGAGGAATCTAATTTGGGTCCCTCCTGAGCACTGCAGAGTGGAAAATCTCCTTAAACAAAGGAAGGTATTATATGGAATAAAAGTGCTAATCCTGAGTTTTGCTCCCTGCCCCCAGCGTCTGCGCCAAGGGCTGGAGCTGGTGACCACAGGGAAAGGGTGGGCCTGGGTCAGAGAGGGCAACGGGCTTCTAGGCTTACAGTCAGCTGGAGGGCACTGCTGACTGCTGGTAACTGCAATTTATTTTAAGAAGAAATTCAGAAAAATAAGTGCAAAAACACCCAAGTTTGCCGCCTGCTGCCGTTTCTATACTCAGCCAGGACTGTGGTACATGAGTCACTTGGTCCAAAAAGGTTGGAAGAGACTTGCAGGGGAGGCCATGTCATTACAAGGTTGCAACACAGTGTCCTGACATGACCCCGGTTCCTGCTCCAGATGCAAAGGTAAACCCCGCTACTGCAGTCCCAATCCAGCTGGTGGGCAGGACTGTCTCATCAATAAGCCCTGAGAAGCCAAGCTTCCTGGGGGGCACGGCCGGGCATCGAGCGCCACGGATAAAGGGGGTGAGCACTAAGATTACTAGGGGGGAAAAAACTCGGAGCTGGCTGCGAGCACTGCTCATTGGAACAGTCCTGAGTCTGAGATAAGGGTTGGGATCACGATTTTGCATACCCAGAAGCATCAGGGGTGCGATCTCGCTAAAGATTAAAATCTGAACCTCCAATACAGAGAAGAAAAGGAAACTAACATTTACTGACACTTGTCCTGGCATGTCTCCTTAGAGCCCCAGGGGTGGGGAACCCTTTTTCTGCCAAGGGCCATTTGGATATTTATAACATCATTCGAGGGCCATACAAAAGTATCAACTTAAAAATTAGCCTGCTATATTTGGTCAAACATTTAATTAACCCACCCTTAAAGTGATGGCTGAAACTGCTTCTCTTTGGCAGGGCCAGATCAAATGAATTTACTGGCCATATACGGCCCATGGGCCAGATGTTCCCCACCCTTGCTTATACCATACAGGCTGTGACAGGATGCCCACAGGTGATGGCATCGATGTCCCACCACCGGGCACACTGACTTGCCTACCTACTCTCCTCTCGCAGCCACCCCACAGGGCTTCGGCCTCACTCCATCCACACACATTTACCTTTCTGCAGGATCTCGAGATGTTCCCACAAGATGTCCCCAACGAAGTCTGGGGCCAGCTCGAGAAAGCAGTCTTTCCCCAGCGCACAGAGGGCCGCTCCGTTCATACAGAACTTCTGGAAGTCCACTCCCTTCAGGCTGAACTCATTCACGGCCCACATCACCCAGTCCCGAACATGGGTCTCTGTCCACTGCCGGGGGTCTGAAGGGAGAGACCAGATGAAGATCCAGCGCGTCAGGCTCGGGGCTCTGACCCGAGCCTCGGAGGGGACACTGAAGGGACTCGACTTAGCTGAGGAGACTCTGCTTTCGAGAACCAGGCAGCACCAGCTGCGAAAGCACGTCGGGGAGGAGCCCCTTCCTCCTCCCCACGCTGGACATCCCACCTTTTCTATCTTGCCAGCGAGGAGACTGCTGTCCTCAAACAAAAGGTAACACAAATACTTTCTACCCTCCATTCAGACAATTTTTCCAAATTGTCCCCTGTCTCATTGCCTTATATCCAATAGACTTTTTTAAAGGCCTGAGACAAAAAACAAATGACTTCTTTAAGGGCAAGTATACCTAAATCTAGTTTGTTCTGGACATTACACTCACTTCTCCCTGCTCTTTACTCCTATAGTGTACTTGAGACTGTTATTCTTAATTACTTTTATCTCAGCTAATTATGACTGGTAATAATCCTAGCAATTAGCTATAGCAAGTCATTCGAATGGTACTTAGTAATGACATTATTAGTTGCCTGGATTATACTAGATACCCTGCTAGTCAGGCCCGGTGCTGACTAGCTCCGCAGCAGGACACTGCACAGTCTCAGTGTGTGGCCTGAGCTTTAATGTGGCCACACCGGCCACAACACGTAAAGAGCTCAGGTGGCGGCAGGTGGCGGCGCCCACGTCATTCCTGCTCTCAGGGTTCCCCCATCAGTTGAGGAGGGGACCTATAATCATTTCTCCTTTCTGACAACTCTAGTCCCCTCACATTCCTGAATAAACCCTTTCAGATGAGAACACCCAAGAAAAAACACATTTCGCCACAGCACATGTAAAAGAAAAGAGTAATCAGTAAATTCCAAGAAACTGAGCCCACCAAGTTCACCCAATGCCAGCCCAGAATGACCCTGAACCCTAAACCCATGTTTTCTCCCAAGTGTCTGTATCTGAAATCACTTGACAAGCTTCAACCATACTGATGTTCCCAGCAATTGTGATTTAACTGGCCTGGGATGTGGCCTGGGCTGGGAAATTTTTGAAGATCCCGCATTTAAGTGCAAACAAGTTTGGGAACAGTGCCCCACGACCAGGTGGCAGCCACGAACCCAGGGGATGGAGGAGCATTAGCACCTGTGTGCGGCTGTTCTAGCAGGCATCTGCCACGACCCGTGGCTGCCGGCTGACGTGTGGTGAGCAACGCCTACCTCACGCACAGGTGAGAAAACTCACCTGACCTAAAAGCCTGCTCCTAACCGCTCTTTCCCAAGGACCAAACATACCTTTCGGAATTCCCAGTCTTTGCTGCTCTTTCGAGAATCCACTGAAAGTCGCTTTCAGTGCCTGAGACATCATTTCTTTGCTGCTGGGAGTTAAAAGGGGGACATCTGCACATTCCATATCTGTAAGACAAAACATCATACGAATAATAAAAACCAAATAGGTGATGGATCATTCTGCAATGTATACAAATGTCACATCATTATATTATACACCTAAGAATCATATAATGTTACATGTCAATTGGATTTCAATTTTAAAAAAACTAAATAGGTAATTAACCACCCATAAAATTTAATAAGGCATGACTGGTCTGAAGAAGACAGACCAAAAAATAATTATACTAACATCCTCACAAGGGCAGGTAAAATTGGGGGAGGCAGCTTCCCACAATGAGTTAGGCCCCTTAAAAAAGCTGGCTCTTGCCGAGAGTGCCCTACACCCCTAACTAACAAAGCATGTTTATTCTTTCTGTATAACTCTACTAATTCCCCCATAATCCCTACTTGTCCTTCATAATTCACTGAGAGTATTAATACTACTAGGGACTTCCAGGTACCTATGAAAAGGAAATAACGATATTCATTCATTCAACAGACAATGACAGCAATAAACAGACAGAAATAATCCCCAACTTCATGGAGCTGGGTATCAGATTCTGGCAGGAGACACAGTCATTCAAAAACTATTTTCATGATTAAATGTTCAAACGTTCAGAGGAGAAGCAGAGATAAAATGTTATCATATAACAGGAATGCCTGTTGGTCTAGAGGAATCAGAGAAGGCCTTCCTTAGAAGAAGAGACGTCTGACTTGAGATCTAAAGGATACATAGGAGTTTAAGAGAAAAATACTCTGGACCAGTGGTTTTCATTAGCATCGCCTGGAACTCACTAGAAATGTCAATTCTCAGCCACTCTCAGATCTCCTGAATCAGAACATCTCACCTCTCGGGGGTGGGGCCCGGGAATCTGTGTTTATAACACAGGATGCAGGTGACCCTAATGACCACTAAAGTTAGAGGACGGTAATCGTAGATAAAGGGAGTAGCATGAATGAAGGTCATGACACTGGAGGAGAGAAAAGTCGACCTATTTTAGTATCAAAAAGATCGGAAGCTGCAGCGGAAAGACAGGAGGCAGTGGCTTGAGATGACATTAAAAAGGTAAACAAGGAGTGTATTCAGGACTTTATAATTTTATCCTAAGTAGAATAAAAAGTCATTGAGAATTTTATGCAGAGGAATGGCATGACTACATTAAGAAGGTCACCTTATGGTAATTCTATTTTTAATTTTTCAAGAAACTGCCATACTGCTTTCCTCAAAGTGGCTGCCTGATTTCAATTTCCCACCAACAGTGCACATGGGTTCCAGGCCTTGTCAACATTTGTTACTTTCTGGGTTGGTTTTGCTTTTTTTGAGGCAGGGGGAGATAGCCATCCTAATGGATGTGAAGTGGAATCACTGTAGTTTTGACTTCTATTTCCCCAATGATTAACGCTTAATTAATGATTAATAATAATTAATCATTATTCCACGTGCTTATTGGCCTTTTTTGTATCTTCTTCAGAGAAATATCTATTCAAGCATTTTGCTCATTTTTAAGTAGAGTTGTTTGAGGTTTCCTGCTGGTGGTGCTCAAGTTTTAAGAGTTTTCTGTATACCCAAAAGAGTTGAACTCAGGATCTCAAAAGGATATTTGTACACTTATGTTCACTGTAGCACAAATCACAATATAGAAAATGTGGAGGCAACCCAAGTATCATCAACAGACGACCAGATAAGCAAGTGTACCATATGCATACAGTACAATATTATTCATACAATACAGTATTAATTCCTTCTTTAAATAGGAAGGAAATACTGACATATACAACATGGATGAACCTTCACATCACGCTACGTGGAATAAGCCAGTCGCGAAAGGACAAATTACATGAAATACTGAGAACAGCCAAATTCATAGAGACAGAAAGTAGGATGGTGGTCGCCAGGGCCTGGAGGAAGGAGGGAAATGGGGACAGAGTTTCAGTTTTACAAGATGAAAAAAGCTCTTGAGGTGGATGGTGGTGATGGGTGTACAACGTTCCACATAACCATAGACTTAAAGATGGTTAAGATGGTAAACTGTGTTATGTTTATTTTACCACATTAAAAAAATGGAAAAAAAAAAAAATAAAGAAGATCACCTTAGCTGCTCCGTTTAGGACGTAACTACAAATGGATGTGGGTAGACCTGTTAAAAAGTTACTGTATTAACTGCGGTGGGAGATGGTGGTGGCTTTGACTAGGACGGTGGCAAAGCGGGGAGTGTAAGTAAACAAATTTGAAGTGCACACAGGAGGTAGTATCTGTAAAACTTGATTTCTGTAGGTAGTAAGAATGAAATGTCAAACTCTGCAGATTCACAAATGTGCCGCCTTCGCTACACCCACGTACATCTTTGTCTCTTCTATGTTCAGTTCTTATACTCAGACCATGATCAGAGCAAGGAGACATAACTGTGGCTCAGGTTTACCATCCTCTGAGTTCACTTGGGCACAGTTTCCCGCAGTAAGTTAATAAGCGAAGTAACGATGCGAGATTCCTCCTGGCCATCCTGTGACCTTCGGGCAGTGACACGCTTTACTGCAGTGATTTCCAAAGCCCCCATCCTCAGCCTGTGTCTTCAGGACATCGTATGAAACTGAGCCCCAGGCATGGCCACGGTAGAGGCTCTCAGCTGGTTATCTCTAAACCCCGGCTGATCAAAAAATTCCATGGACACACACAGTGTGTTATTGGCTGAATGAAATGGAAACATACGAGGGAAAAGATGACAACGGGTGACCTCTGAAAAAGGAGAGCAAATATATTGCTTCTGGACATCAAAGCGAAGGGAACTATGTTACAAGGAAGGGCAGGCAGCATTTGCCTGGGGTTTCCTTTGAGCGATGCTGTCAGGACAACTGCTGAGAGTCCAGCCTCTGCCCTGGAGGCATAGAAGGCTCCACTCAGCTGCGCCCAGGCCCTGCCAGGGAGCGGGAATCTGAAGCTCTGGAG